CTCCTCCTCCTCCTCCTCCTCCTCCTCCTCCTATTTGGGCTGGCCCAGGTTGAGATCCCTTGAGCTAGTCAGAATTGCTCAGTCTGGCCTACGTCACAGAGGTGTTGCTGTGAGCATAAAATGGAGCAGTGGAAAACCAGAGATGCCAACTGATCTCCTCTGAAGCAGGGTGGGGAGAACATTGTGATATATAGACAGGTATCCTCGGCATAGAATCAAACAGGGCTTCCATTTTCATGGAAATGCCCCCCCCCAATCTTCCGTCATTCAAGCTCTTGACTGTCACTGCTGAAGAGGTTGGTTTCTTTCAAAAACAACCGCATTTGTGTTGTCATAAATTAATTTGGAGAACATCCCTCTCAAATCACAGGCCGAATGTTTTTCGGCCTAAAGAGAACGGATTTATGTTATCTACATAAATGAGTACAAATACGTCCTTGCCTGTTTCCTAAGGAGGAGCTTTTTCATTCAGGAGGGACCGCTGCTAATATAAAAATTAACTCAGAAAAGCGCTGTTAAACGGCCTTGCTGAGTACCCCCGGAGGCCCGTATGTCAACTGTCAACTGACTGTTCTTCCCTAGTTGGACTTTTGGGTGTGTGTTGCTTAGCTAATGAGAACCATCATTTGTCCTCATTAGTATGTACTGGTTTAAGCCAGGCCTGTCTCAGCTGATTAAGATGAAAGCAGACGGCAAGTCCACAAAGGCAGCACAGGACGGGAATACCTTTCCCTCCTCACAACATATTTGAGACGGTGCTGAATGAAAGATTATCAATCTTCCGGCCTTTGGACCCTGTTGGTTTCCCTCAGATTTCTATCACTGATTTCCACCACACAACGTGTTTTCCAGGCCTTGTCTCATTGATTCCTGTGACAAATCTCGTCCCCGTTTTTGTAAAGAATTGCTTTGTGCGTGTGCTCGACCCTCCAAAATCCTTATGAGGTGGGCCCTCATTCCAGTCATTTTGGAAATGGTGGAACTGAGGAGGAGGAGGAAGAAGTAGAGCAGGTTTTTATACCCTGCTTTTTTCTATTTTAAGAAGAAGAGATTGGATTTATACCCCACCCGTCACTACCTGAAGGAGTCTCAGAGCAGTTTACAATCTCCTTTCCCTTCTCCTCCCCACCACAGACACCCTGTGAGGGAGGTGGGTGTGAGAGAGCTCTTTCCAGAACGGTTCTTGAGAGAACAGCTCTGACAGAACTATGGCTTGCTCAAGGTCATCCAGCAGCTGCATGTGGAGGAGTGGGGGAATCAAACCTGGTTCTCCCAGATTAGAGTCCGCACACTTAACCACTACACAAAACTGGCTCTCGTAGGGGCTTAAAATTGCCATCTCTTCCTCCTGTGCTTGACCCTCCAATATCCTTATGAGGTGGGCCCTCATTCCAGTCATTTTGCAAATGGTGGAACTGAGGAGGAAGACGAAGAAGAAGAGTAGGTTTTTATACCCTGCTTTTCTCTACCTTAAGGAGCCTCAAAGTAGCTTACCATTTCCTCTCCCTTCCTCTCTCCACAACAGGCACCTTGGGAGGTAGGTGGGGCTGAGAGAGTTCTGAGAGAACAGTGACTGGCCCTAGTTCGTCCAACAGGCCTCATGTTAAGGTTGCTGGTTCTGGGTTGGGAAAAACCTGGAGATTTGGGGGGCGGAGCCTGGGGAGGGTGGGGTTTGGGGAGAGGAGGGACCTCAGCAGGGTATAGCGCCATAGAGTCCACCCTCCAAAGCAGCCATTTTCTCCTGGGGGGCTGATCTCGGTGGTCTGGAGTTCAGTTGTAACAGCAAATCTCCAGGTTCCGCCCAGAGGCTTGCAACCCGGCCTCATGTGGATGAGTGGGGAATCGAGCCTGGTTCTCCAGTTCAGAGTCCCCCGCTCTTAGCCATTACACCATGCTGGCTCTCAGCTGAGGAACTGAGGAAATCTTGCTTGTTGTACGGTACTCAAAGGCAATGCTCCCTCTAAGCTGTGGAGTCTTGTGAGCAAAAATTCTACTTTGAGAGCTACTGGCATTAAAGTTGGGAGCGAGCGATTTGGCAGCTGCATACATTAGTTTGCTTCGGAGCCATCCTTCCCGAGGTGAGAGAAAAATGTGTGAGCTGGAGGCTAAAAAGCGGTAAGCTAGCTCACACTAAGTCAGCTTAGAGGGAACACCGCTCAAAGGAGATGGTGGCAGAGACAGGGCTTGAACCGAGTTCTCCCAGGTCCTGATCTGCCTCCCTTTGCCACTGTCTCGGCATGAGATCGCCCGCGTTTCTCGACCTTCCTTTCTTAACGCTTTTTTCCTTTTTTCTCTCTCTCCCCCCGCCAAAGATCGACGAGTTCATCATTGAAGCGGTCGACCTGAAGCAGGTGAGGAGGGTGAGGATAGGGCATGACGGCAGAGGAGGAAGCAGTGGCTGGTACCTTGGAAAAGTGATAGTGAGGCAAGACGGACAGCCAGAGAGTGAGGCTGTGGAATTCCCCTGCTACAGGTACTCGAAAACCGATAGGCTCTGCAGGGCTCTGTCAGTTGGCTCGATCGGGCAGTCCTCTTTTCTGGGAAGAAAATCTTATTGCAATTAAATGGGACTTACTTCTTAGTGGAACGTGGACTGGAGGATTGGGCCGGAAAGTGGAGGTACTCCAGAGTCTTTGTACCTTGCGAGTGCGAGTTCATATTCCCAAGAATCTTGAGTTTCTCTGGAAGGTAGATAATATAGGTTGGCCAATGTCTGCAGAACTCAGAGTTCAAGGGGTAACATATGGCCCTCGCAAAAGGAGGAATGGTCCATCACATGCAAAAACCTGGCAATTACTTTCTTGGGCAAAGTTACAGACATGTATATTTCAGTCCAGTGGCCCAAAGAGAATGGGTTCAGCCCAGTAAAGCCATAATTTGGGTCTCCTTTTCACACCATCAGCATGAGGACCAATCTGTAATTTCCCTTGCAATTATGCATGCGGCAAATACTACACACACAATAACAGAGAACATAATCAGTTACGTGCATCAGTACAAAGGCCCAGACTGTAAGAACTGCAGACTGTAAGAACTGCATATTCCTTGCCCTGCAGGAGAGCTGCTACTAAAACCAGAATTTGTTCTAAAAACACACACACATGAACCCAGACCACCATCTTGTTTGGTGATGCGCATCGGTTCATGTGGCAATGTCTGCCATTTACACAATGCTGTGCAGTGCAATCCCATACATGTTTACTCAGAAGTAAGACCTGCTGTGTTCAGGGGGGCTTACGGCATAAGACTGCAACCTAACATTTTACCAAGGCAAATCCATTGAAGTCAATTCAAGGTGAATTCATATATAACCGGTATGAGTTCAGACTTGTTATGGAGACATTATCGTCTTCAATCGCTTCTTCTTTTTTTTAAATCCTCCTGTGCTTCCAAAAACCTACTTTTAAATCATGGCTTTTGAAAGCCCCCAGTTTAATGTAACATATAAAACAGTTTATAATATAGAAGCTTACTATACAAGATAGTATCTGTGGCCTGGATTGATTCCCACGGTTGATCCTTATAAAGCCCTGTTACCTTAGCCAGAGTTCTAATTTATACTTCTTGGAGGTATAAATTAAAACAAAAGACCTGGATGGCTAATATCTGCTTATCTGAAGTGCTTTGTTAGCTATTGTATTAAATGAGAAGTTTCGGCAGGCTGGGGTCATGTAGACTTCCCAGTACTGCAAGAATTAGTCAATCAACCAATTAATTTATTAAAATGCTGTAGATCCTTATTAATTAGGCAATACCCCTGTGGCTTCCTGGTGAAAATCAGAGAGTCGTATCTTGGGTGCTGAACATTTCTCAGAGACACAAAAGATGCTCTTCCATTGGCTTTTCCATTTATTTGTTCGCTATTTTTGGAAACTTTATTTCTGGCTCGGCTACTGGGAAACCTAGTCACAATAATAAGAATGTCCTGGTGAGCCAGCCACGGACTTCACATAAGAACATAAGAGCAGGCCTGTTGGATCAGACCAGAGGTCCATCTAGTCCCACTTCCTGTTTCACAGCGTAGCCAAACAGAAGTAGAAGAGGAGATTGGATTTATACCCTGCCCTTCACTACCCAAAGGAGTCTCAGAGTGGCTTACAAACTCCTCTCCCTTCCCCTCCCCACAACAGATATTCTGTTGAGGTGGGTGGGGCTGAGAGAGCTCTGACAGAAACTGCTCTTTTTCAAGAACAGCTCTTATCAGAACTACGGCTTGCCCAAGGTCATCCAGCCGGGTGCAAGTGGAGGAGTGGGGAATCAAACCTGGTTCTCCCAGATTAGAGTCCGCGCACTTAACCACTACACCAGACTCCAGTTGCTCTGGAGGGCCAACAAATTGGGCACAGAGACCAAGGCCTCCCCCTTATGTGGCCTCCTAGCACTGTGATTCAGATAGGGTTCCCATTCCCCCAGCAGGGGCAGGGGTTTATCCACTTTCGGAGGGCCCAATCCACTGCCGCCCAGCTGGCTGGCAGGGGAGCCCCACCCCGAAAGACCCCCAACCGCACCAACGTGCCCGGTGCAATGACATCACCTGGAAGTGACATCATCACGCAGGGCATGTTGTGGGGGGGATGCTCTAGCATTTGAGAAAAACCTCTATGGGAGCGTGCACACTGAAAACTCCAGGGCACAGAGAGGGACCCCCCCTCGCCAGCAGCCAGGTAAGACCCGGCAACCCTAGATTTAGAGGTTGACTGCCCCTCAGTGTGGAGGTTCACTTTCCTCACCATGGGGAGGAGGAGGAGATTGGATTTATACCCCGCCCTTCACTACCCAAAGGTGTCTCAGAGCGGCTTACAAACTCCTTTCCCCCCCCTTCCCCACAACAGACACCCTGTGAGGTCGGTGGGGCTGAGAGAGCTCTTGACAAAAACTGCTCTTTTTCAAGAATAGCTCTTATCAGAACTACGGCTTGCCCAAGATCATCCAGCCAGGTGCAAGTGGAGGAGTGGGGAATCAAACCCAGTTCTCCCAGATTAGAGTCCGCGTACTTAACCACTGCACCAAACTGGAAGGGGTTGGATTTATACCCCACCCTTCACTACCTAAAGGAGTCTCAAAGTGGCTTACAAACTCCTTTCCCTTCCCCTCCCACAACAGACACCCTGTGAGGAAGGTGAGGCTGAGAGAGCTCTTGACAGAAACTGCTCTTTTTTCCAGAACTATGGCTTGCCCAAGGTCACACCACCAGCTGCATGTGGAACAGTGGGGAATCAAACCCGGTTCTCCCAGATTAGAGTCCTCACACTTAACCACTACACCAAACTGGCTCTCTCATGACTAACAGCCATTGGTGGGCCTATTTCTATATAGTTCATAACCCACACACGCACACGCACACAAACCCTTCAATGCCATAGAAGTCAAATTCATTATACCAAAGAGCTACAGAGTTTTATTTTTAAAAAGAACCACCACCCATTTTCAGTGTCAGGATGTAGCCTTACAGATTAAAGAAAGGATGTTATTATCCTTCAGAAATTTTGGTCTGAAGGATATGCAAATGTGTGCAAATTTAACAAACCAGGCAATTATTCCGTTGTGATCACTTTGGTCAAGGGGCAGACCTTGCCCCCAGATGCACAGCGAGGTTACACCACATTAAAAGCACTGGATTCCACAACCACATCAACTATTTCACCTCAGTTCCACTTTTCTCTCTGCAGTTAATCCTGCCTCCCCCGTGAGCACAAATACTAAAAGGCAAGGTTATCTGAACATTATCTTCTCTGCTGGTTAGTACACACACTTTCAGATAACGGTGATAGCTTCGGGAAATATTGTCTCGGCACTCAGGGATGGGACTCAGTCCAAAACTGCCGTTTCAGCTGTTTATTGCTATAGGCATTTTCTTTCCCTTTCCCTTCCCTCACACAAATATCCAAGAAAACAAAGAGCAATGCAGCGTTGGCCACTGAACAAATTCGTACACATGTAGCCACACGCAATGGAATCCTCGTGCCCCTGACGGAATATCCTTTTCTCTGCTAACCAAGCAAGATAGTGGCTACTTTAGAGAAATGAGCTCTGCTGTCCTTGTACCTCTTTATCCCTGTCGGAAGGGTCACATGACTGCCTGCCACGGAAGGAGCCGGACAAAATGGCTGCCTTTTGTGCGAAGGCTGTGTCACGGGCCCCTGAGAAATTTGAAGACAAAGGTACATGGCTACTGCATCCTCCTCCGTTCTGAAGGAAAACCTCTCTCCACGACGCGCCACTTTTGGAGGCTCCTCCAGTTCCAGCCCTGCTGGTCACAGAAGGCTTCCAAATGCTTTTTTTTGGCTTTGAGAGGCTTCTTTCTTCAGAATACAGATCTGACTGGACTACAGGCAATGGGTCTGTCTTGGGGCCGGCGCGGATGTGACACTCACCACAGAGGCAGCCTCGAAAACCGCCTTTCTGTGGTGAGTGGCCCTGATCGTAATGATGACCAACATGGGAAAATGTTGATGTTAATGTTTAAAAGTTTCTAAACTACAGAAAACAAGAGGAGTTGGATTTGGGGTGTGTGTGTGTGTGGGGGGGGTCTCATTCAATCTGACACTTTTGGATATGTGGATAGGGACCTTCATCTGTCCATTGTGTTCCCCTTTTCCTTCTTCCTTTGGTGCATGGCGATCTTTTGGACTTGTTTCAACCACCACCATCTTTACTCAGGATACCAGGCTATTGATGGGTAAAAGTATCGTTTCAGTGGATATGCTCTTATTATTCTGTCTCTTATTGAGCTGTGGTGGCTCAAGTGGTTAAGACACTGAACTGCAGGCTGTGGAAGGTCAGTAGTTCAGCGGTTCAAGACCCGGGTGCCGCAAGACAGGGTGAGCTCCTGTCTCTAGTTCCAGCTCCTGCCAACCTAGCAGTTGGAAAGCAAGAAATTGCAAGTAGATAAATAGGTACCACTTTGGTGGGAAGGTAACAGCGTTCCGTGCGCCTTGGTGTTTAGTCATGCCGGCCACATGACCACGGAAACGTCTTCGGACAGCCCTGGCTCTTCGGCTTTGAAACGGAGATGAGCACCGCAACCCTAGAGTCGGAATCGACTGGCTTTTGAGCAAGGGAACCTTTACCTTTATGCTGTCTCCTCATGCAAGTGGCAGTTGGGTATTCGTCAATCCACACACACACACACACACGTTTTGGATCATGCCATCTTCCTGGCTGCTTTCAGAAAATTCAGCCTATCCTCTAGCGACAGGGCAGACGGCTTGCAAATTTCAGATTTAATAGGCGCGCCTCCTGGTATCGCTGACTACCGCCGTGAAAGCACGGCTTTGAATCCCGAAGGCTACCAGGTGAGCAATAGGATCGAGGGCATTACCTCAGGAAGCTTTTCCATGAAGGTTGTTCCTCAAAGCGGAGGTGGATCTGGACTTCTCTGTCCGTGTCACAAGACCTCTCGCCCATCACAGAGGAGGATTATCATGCTTGATCCTAACCTCAAGCCAAAGATGCTTTGCTGGCTTCGGAACCTCTCCAGTGACCTTTTGTCTGACCACATCTTTTAGGAAATGAACAGGAAGTATACTGGGTAGGGTACATACCTGGGCAGCCAGCAAATGTTCGGCAAGGGATGCAGAGCGATGAACAGAAAGACCTCTTAACTTCCCCATGAAGATAGTTTCCGAGAGCAGCCATGTCGGTCTACGGTAGAACAGCTAGATTCGCGTCCAGTAGCAACTTAGAGACCAACCAGACATTCAGGGTATGAGCTTTTGAAAGTCAAAACTCCATTCGGCAGATATCCCGAAATCTTACACCCCGAAAATCTGGCTGGTCTCTGAGGTGCTCTTGAATCTAGTTGATCTTCCATGTTACCCATTGTGTTGGGTCGTTCTAGCAAGGCTATGGCTCTTCTTTGCATTTTAAGCAGGGCTTTTTTGTGTGGGAAAAGCCCAGCAGGAACTCATTAGCATAACAGGCCACACCCAACAGCAGAAACTTATTAGCATATTAGGCAACACCCCTGACAATGCAGCTCATTGGCATATTAGGCCACACCCCCATGTTACCAGAAGTGTGCTCATCCAGCCACACCCGCCTTTTGCTTGTTATTCTGTTTACCTTGTTTGTTGCCAAAACCCAGGGCTTTTTTGTAGCGGGAACTCCTTTGCATGTTAGGCCACACATCCCTAATGTAGCCAATCCTAATGAGTTTCTGCTGTTGGGTGTGGCCTATTATGCTAATGAGTTCCTGCTGGGCGTGGCCAACTCGGGAGCCAGCCGGAACTCCGTTCCTGTGCGTTCCTGCTCAAAAATAGCCTTGATTTTAAGGCTAAAACACATGGCTAGTAAATCTACGGGGTGTATCTCTTGGTGGAATGCACCACTTTGGAACGTAGGGGGAGATTAAATATTCGAAAGCTCTGACGTTTCTTAAAGAACCCTGTACAAACAAGATTAGCTCGTCGAGCAGAAGAGTTCTAGGATAGCCTCTTCCCTGGCTTGCCAACTTTAAACGGTGGGCCATTAAATCATTTGATCCCACAACTGCCATTTGAAATGGTATAGCCCACCAATATATAACATTGTTTGATGCTGCTGATCATGTAGTCGAGCTCTGATTTTGAAGATGTGGGGGAAACAATTGGGATGCATCATGTTTCCTTTGCCATTATAAGAGTCTCATATTTATAATTCTATCATTATAATAATACATATAAGTATAATTTGGACTTGTTGCCAGTGCATGCTTCAGTTCCTACTGTGTGATTCTTTGGTGGACATTAACTCTGGTGTGGGAGGAGATTGTGAGCAGATTGGAACGAGGAGTGTTTGCTTGAGAATTGCTCCTCCCTTTCTCCCAATTCCTTTTCATTATATTAGAGAACTGTGGATGCTGTTCAGCTTATAGAGGACCAGGCTAAAGGACCACTGCTTAATTCTTTGGAATTCTTACAGATCACAGTGGAGGGAACTTGCAAGGAGGTTTAATCAGACCCTTTGTTTCAGGTTTCCCTAGTGACATCTCTAACTACACAGCATTTCGCACGCATTGTACTTTCCTGGATTTTGGTAAGCTTTCTCACGAATGATTGGTAATAGCAGATAACGAAACTTTTGTTTGCCAACCAGATGGTTTGACAAAAACGAGGACGATGGACTGATTATTCGGGAGTTAGTGCCGGAGGGGCGATCGTATATTCTGGAAAGTGAGTTTGCTCGGTTTTCCCAGAATCCCTCGGGCTACACTGTTCCTTTTCAGTTCATGTGAAAACATTATTTCAGTCTGTCCCCTTTTCTGATCCGCGTCCGGCCTCCTGGCTCAGAATGGGGAGATGCTCTGTCTTTGAGTCTGTACTTTCGTTAAGGTTTGCTCCTTATCTCTGATTATCTCCCTTGCTACTATTGTTCCTTTTGTCTTGCATAGATAGGGAGGGCGGTTGTCCTCGCACCCTATAGTGCCCCACAACTGCTGCCCAGATTTCTGAATGTCCCCCAAGATTTGTAGATCATCCCTGTTAAGAATCACTGGTGCAGACTACGGACAGAGTTACACATAAAATCAGATAGAAGAGGCTACCACCCCAAAAGGTAACCTCGTATCAGGTTCTCCCCCCCCCCCGTTCATTCTTTTAATTCCCCTTCCCCTGTGCCTTGCCATCATCACAATAGGCCAGGGGTCTCCAGCCTTTTCGAGCACGTGGGCACCTTTGGAATTCTGACATTGGTGGTAGGTAGGTGCAGACACAAAATGGCTGCCATAGGAGATAGAGCCCCACACACTCACAGAGAAGAAGCGCAAGTGCAGGGGACAAGAATGATCTTTTGCAGTACACTGAGAAAGAGAGCGAGAGAAAATAAAAACAACAGAGTGACAGCAGCTGCCACCAAAACAATATTTTAATCTGCACAGCCCATCAGATCTCTAATGGCCAATCAGAAGCCCTGCTGGGCAGGAAGCCCATGGGGCCCCGCCCACTTTCTAAAAACACTCCGCAGGCACCAGGAAAGAAGAAGAAGAAGAAGAGAAGAAGAGATTGGATTTATACCCCGCCCTTCACTACCCAAAGGAGTCTCACGCAGGCGATGTTGGGTCCCCGACCGAAGTGCTCTTGGGGGTATATGTGGGGAAAGGTGGTAGAAGAGGCCACCACCCCAAAAGGTAACCTCGTATCAGGTTCCCCCCCCCCTGTTCATTCTTTTAATTCCCCTTCCCCTGTACCCTGCCATCATCACAATAGGCCAGGGGTCTCCAGCCTTTTCGAGCACGTGAGCACCTTTGGAATTCTGACATTGGTGATAGGTAGGTGCAGACACAAAATGGCTGCCATAGGAGATAGAGCCCCGCACACTCACAGAGAAGAAGCGCAAGTGCAGGGGACAAGAATAATCTTTTGCAGTACACCGAGAAAGAGAGCGAGAGAAAATAAAAACAACAGAGTGACAGCAGCTGCCACCAAAACAATATTTTAATCTGCACAGCCCATCAGATCTCTAATGGCCAATCAGAAGCCCTGCTGGGCAGGAAGCCCATGGGGCCCCGCCCACTTTCTAAAAACACTCCGCAGGCACCAGGAAAGAAGAAGAAGAAGAAGAGAAGAAGAGATTGGATTTATACCCCGCCCTTCACTACCCAAAGGAGTCTCACGGCGGCTTACAATCTCCTTTCCCTTCCCCTCCCCACCACAGACACCCTGTGAGGGAGGTGGGGCTGAGTGAACTCTGAGAGAACTGTCCTTGAGAGAACAGCTCTGACAGAACTATGGCTTGCCCAGGGTCATCCAACAGGCGCGAGTGAAGGAGTGGGGAATCAAACCCGGTTCTCCCAGATTAGAGTCCGCGCACTTAACCACTACAGCAAACTGGCTGTTGTCATCATTTTGTGATGCTGGAGCTTTAAAGCTCTTGCTTGGCTTACAGGAGAATAGCAGCAAAGTTGTAGACCAGGGGTCTCCAACATGGTATCCATGGGTTCCATGATGCCTGCTGATATTTTCCCTCATTCCTAATGTTTTTAGAAAGTGGGCAGGGCCAGGTGCCGCTTTTGCCCAGTAAGCCTTCGGATTGGCTGTTGGAAATTTGATGGGCTGCGCCAATTTTTTAAAAAAACTTCACTTTCTTCATTGTGTGACTGAAGGTAAGCTGCGGCAGCCATTTTGTGGCTGGCTCGGCCACCTGCGGTAGCCATTTTGTGGCAGCCATTTTGTGATTGCACCCGCCTCGCTTTGTCAGAACGCCCCCACAGGCTCGAAAAGGTTGGGGACCCCAGTTGTAGACTATGTATACTATTATAAATATAATTTCATTTCCCCCCACCATTTGTAATTCTAACCAACTAGCCATTGTAGATTAAACCTCTTTTCCCCCGCTTGCCTGAACCCAGTCTTCAAAACCACACATCGTTTCCTAACTTCTCTGCTTCCCATTTGGCTCTCCACTTTGATCCTCCGCAAAGAGTAGGGATGGTGACTTGTCACACCTTTGTATACACGTGTTAATATCTCTGTAGATGTTGGTTACCACATCAGCATAAAGACCGGAGACGTCCCCGGAGCCAGCTCGGATTCCAAGGTTTTGATCAAGATGTATGGAGAAAAAGGAGACACCAAAAAAGAGTTTCTCTTGATTTCTGATAACGACTTAGAAGATTACTTCGAGCGTGGCCGGATCGATATCTTTACTCTAGACACAAGGGACATTGGAAAGGTATGAAAGGGACTACAAATCTGGATTGAAGGAGTGGGGGTTTTTTTGCCTTTGATTGCGAAGAGTACATTTAGGCACTGTCAGATTGATTTCAAAATGCCTCCCCCATAGCTTCCCAAACCTGAGGAAATCTAATGAAAGTAATATCTAGGCCCAAAGTGCTTAAAATACCATTTTCATCTGTACAAACATGTCCCCAATTAGCTAAGGTCATCTATGGAGACCTAATCTCCTGATGTGAGTTGGGTGGCCACTAAACTAAAGTCCTTCCTTTAGGGACACCTCACCTACAGAACAGCCAGGGGTCATTTCCTGCAGGAGCGCACAGGAGCGGAGCTCCAGCAGTACAAAGCCCAGGGGGCGGGCACATGCAACAAGCCCCACCCCCTGCTCCCAGCAGCCCTCAGTCAGAGCAAGAAGCAGCCAGGTAAGTTGCAGAGCCCCCGGCCCAAAACAGTCCAGTGGCACCTTTAAGACCAAGTTTTATTCAGGTACAAGCTCTCCCTCCTCTGTGAGGACAGATCTGCACGTTCCCCCCACCACCATAGCTAGCAATCCAAAACAATCCAGTGGAGCCTGAGCGGTGGGTGTGGCCTTCTGACACACTTCTGGTGATGTCAGGGGGTGTGGCATATGCAAATAAGTTATGCTAATGAGTTATGCTAATGAGCTCCTGCACTTCTTTTTCTACAAAATGACCCCTGCTGCCATCCATCTGTGGTCTCACTTTGGGTGATTTAAGGAAACAGGTTAAAATCCGGTTGTTTAACCAGCTTTTTTTAAAACAATCTCCCCCATCTAACCATCAAAGTATATTAAAATTGGTGGATGCATTTTAACTAAGAGACCTGACAATTTTAATTTCTATACAGGATCTATAATAACTCTTTAATACACAAAATCCCTTGTTAGGGAAAGGGGACAGAAAGCATTTGGGAAAGAGGGATTATTAACAAGAGTCTTAACATTACCAAGATGGGGGTGTTTCCAAGCTGGGAAGAAGGTGAGTCAGACTTGGTCCCTGTTATTCTGCAGCACCACCGCTGGTTGGAGGTGGTATTGCAGGTAGTGTCCCAGAAGAGATTGAATTTTATAAACAGCCGATAGGGTTCTATCTGTTTCTACATGGGGCCGCCCTTGGCACAACTCCGGAAGCTGCAGCTGGTGCAAAATGCTGTGGCCAGGCTGTTGACAGGTCTCCCTATGTGAGAGCACATCCAGCCTGTGCTGAAGGCATTGCACTGGCTGCCAATAGCATACTGGATTCGCTTCAAGGTGCTGGTTTTGACCCTTAAAGACCTTTATGGTCAGGGACCTGCCTACCTAAGGGACCACCTTTCCCCACATGTTCCCCAGAATGCACTATGGTCAGGGTCGCAAAATCATCTGCCCCCCCCCCCCCGG